AACTCAGGGTCTCGTTCGGAGTCAAAATCTGGTCGCATTGGGAATGGGTTTTGATTAATTTGATTGGTGGATGCCGACGATAGACTCACTGGAGACTTGACTCGGAATGTGAGTGCAATTAAATTGTGTCTTTATTATTCCCCAAAGTTTCCTAGCTGATCGTTGGGTGTGAAGTACTGCAGCACCGCCAAACGTCTCACGAAGATCATCATTCCGAGCGCTTGCCCGGCCAATCACCTGAGGCTACCACCTTAAAAGTCGCTGACTAGCTCGTCTTTCAACGTTCAACGCACACTCCTTCGCCGTCGTCCATTCGCCCGAGTTCTCTCTAGTACACATCATCAAAGCAACATGGGCAGACGTGACAGCGTTTCTCTGGGTTCGAACCGGCGAACCTAAAAAAACTATGAACGAAGCCGACTGCTTACTCCTCGACAGAGACTTGCAATGGAAACGAGGCCGCAGAAGATGCTCAACGCGGCTGACATAGGCTAGTCAAGCGCGAGGAGTCTGTAAGGACGCTGACATTGATGTCTGTGCAAGTACTACTCGAAACTTTGGAGTCATTTCCGTGTCAGTGAGCCTTCTATTTGTCGCGTAGGGAATCAATGAACGATTGTCAAATGGCTGCTGTTGTGCTCCAGGCCAGGATATAGCCAGATTGCGACAATAGAAAGAACGCAACGGTAGGTGAGTGATGTTCACATTCCTCCCCGAGTTCTTCCCGGGTGCACAGGACCGAATACCCGGACTCCAGCGCCTTGCTCAATGTGCATTCGTTGTTGCGTTTTCATAGCCATTGTCCGTACCAAAGAGCCTGGATCATGATAGGGAAATCCGCTGGAGATGGCTTTGCGATGAACACCGGGTCGCGGTGGCAGGCGGGTCATTTGATTCTTCGACATCACACATCTTACCCGACAGCCGTTTGTCAAACCCGCAAGGCCTTATATGGATGCTAGACCGAGCTCGCTCCAGAACGAGACAATCAAGGGGGTAGCGAGGGTGGGAACATGCAGGCGATTTGTTAGTTTTTCCTTTCGATACCTCACTAACTCGATGCATAGTTCCCCTCCCCAAGTTTTATCCGGATGGGTCATTTCAATACAGGATTGCTGTAACCCTCAAGACACAAAATCAGGATAGTGTATACCATCTGATACAGTGACGGGGGAAATCGAGATTGTCAGCGCGCTTAATAGAAATAAGAGGGCGAGTTCTTCTCTCGTCTCTCGGGTATGGCGGTGAACGTTGTTGATAGCAAGTAACATTTCGGCAGTAACCAATCTTAGGCTTGTGATCTCCGTTTGAGGGACCGTGATCCAGCGTTGCGGCAGTCTGAAGGCAGTATGTATGTCCTTCGAGATCATGATACGTCTCTTCAATTGATACACAGTATATTTGTCTAGGGGTAAATCGATGAGTGTAGCCATTTCAGTTTGGAGTATGGTTAGTAAAAACCTTCGAATTGGGCAACGAAATCTCTCATACAGGTATCCCTTTCCACTTATAAATTATTCAAAAAAAAAACAAAAGCTGGAAAGTCCGACCGATAGTGGTCGGCTCCCACATGGCCAGCCGGAAGAGTTGTCTAAACTCGAGGTTGGCACCGTCGCGTTCTGGTTTTACTTCCGTGTCTTCGGAGATCACCGCGTGAGCCAAAGGCACCCTCACACTCTAAGCACTTGAATGGTTTCTCTCCATTGTGTGCTCGCATGTGATCTATAGTGAGAACACGCGCGTGAGTGTGCGGCGGGACTTGTATCCGGCATAATGTAACTCACAATCGTAGTTGTGTTTGGCAGTGAACCCCATGGAGCTGCATCCTGGTACGTCGCAGAAGTAGCGAGGACGTCGTGTCTTGCGACGGGCCATTGAAGCTCCGGTCACTGTGGGAGATCCTACTTGACGCAGGTTGCTGGAGATATAATTAACAAGGGGGGAATGGTCGCTATATGCAGCGAAGGGGGATTTAGTTTTGGGACCATTGTAAGGCGCCTGTCTGCTCGCAGCTGGAAGCCCTTCGTGGTGGTGGCCATTGCTATAGCTGTGCGCATGGAGGAACTTTGAAGAGATGCCAGCGGAGGAACGGGTACGGCTTGGGGTACGGTGTTGGTCGCCGTAACTCGTTGGAGTCACCAAAGAACTATGACGAAAGACTCAGTCTTCGAGTAACAGCGTCAATCTAAACTAGCTGTGGCTCACCTGAAGTCGAGATTCTCGGGACCGCGCCCGAGCCACGACGACAAGTGTTCCGTATTGAAATCGAGGTCCGTGGCAACGGGAGGTGCTCCTGATCTTACTTGCTGGTGGCTGAAGGAGATACGATTGAACGAGGTAGCATGGACGTTGTCTGTAACCGTGGGTGAATGGGGCGTAGAAGTACCATATAGCCCCTGCCTTGTGGAAGCTGGAAGTCCTCCGAAAATTTGGCCATTGTCGACGTAGCTGTATGAGTCAGGAGACTCTGAGAAAGTATCGGCGGCATGTTGGCGATTTCCGTGTCTTGTGGAATGGGTCTTCAGTTGACAGCGCTAGTCCAAACTTATGATAGAGTACCTGTAAACAAGGGCCTCAGGATGTCCTAGCCACGATAACACTGGGCCCACCCAAGGATCACCCGAGATAAAGTTGATTGACGTCTTGGTACTTCCTCGGAGTTGGCTCATGGTGGCTGGGCCTGTTAATTCGGAATGGATCATGGTGCTTGAGATTCCGTCATCTAAGGCGGAAACATCGAGACCGCTGATTTGGGATCTATCATGCTGATTATACTGGCTGCGCGCCTCTTGTGCTCCTCCGTGATGACCGAACCGGTCGCTGGGAGGGAGGGTGTGGTGAGTTATCCCAGCTTGACGCGATAAGCAAAGGATTAACTTACCCCAGATTGATACATTGCGAGTCACTTGACTCTGTAACGTCCTGGGAGATAACTCTCGTGAGGACTGAGTCTCTGCATCCTTGAGGACTGGCTAAGGTAGGGAGAGAAGTAGAAGAGCAAAGAGGGGAGGGAGAAGTTTGCTCGTCGACGTGGGGACGCGCATATTCTTTGAACAAGTTGCCGTTCATGACAACTCTAGTACTACTTGGGCAGGGAAAGCCTGCTGGGGTATGAAATGGGGAATGAAGGGCTATTTATTCATTCTCTGGGCGGTATTCCGCTGGAAAGTAGATTGATTTCCACCCAGACTGTAGAGTATGTATTTGCACTAAAAGGCACTTATCACACCTCATGATATTCAACATACCACAAAAATTCTTTTTCTTTCCTTCGCCACCTCGTGGGACCAGCTAATTTCGCGACACCTGCTGCCCAAAATTGATATCCATTCATTTACGGACAATCGTGAAGTAATTGGTCAGTGGTCATGTACACTACTGCAGTACTGAGCATCAAAGCGTTGGTTGATTGATCATGATTGTCCAGATTGGCGAGAGTCAGGCGGCTCCTAGCCTCTAGGGCTCCTGCCAGTGGCCACAGCCCGAGACCAGAACACAAAAACCCTATTTGTTACCGAGGTCGTTCAATCAGCTGTAGCTGAATACCTGGGTCCGAGATGGTAAGCTTGTAACGGTAATCCTCAAAGCTGTTCAATACTATAGTAAGACCGCAGACCTCGGGATTCAAAACGCTGTGAGACGTGTATCGAACTCGAGACTCAAGTCACTTACGCTTTCAATGTAGGTGATGCACGTGCCATCAGCTCCTTCGAAGACGGAGGTTCCCCCAGCCTCCAATTGGTTTGTGCTGTGAGTGATTGGTCGGGTTTCGGTTAGCAGTCCGGCCGTGTGTAATTTTGGATGACAAATGGGATCTGGCACATTCAAAGAGACCATCTTAGATAGATCGGTGAGAGGTTCGCACGATGTGAGCAGTCGAGCTCTTCTCGTCCACTGCGAGCGAAACCCAGAGACCATCAATATAGCGGACGACCCTCGACGTCAATCAGCCGAAAACATCCGGTTGCCTCAACATCGAGATACCTGATGTGAGGTTCAGTCTTCGTTCAGTCTATTGTCAGTGGCCATCGCCAGCACTTCTCGTCGTCTGTGAGCCAGTGGCCAAGGAAATGGTCGGAGACTCAAGAATGTACTGACAGCTTGACCGGCAACGATTCGCCCAAACCTGTACGGCCGCTGGAGTGGCTCCATTAACGCTTGACGAATCAATATGATCGACAGCCCGAAAAGGGCTTGACCCAACGGTGATCAATGGCAGGTCCCAGATTCAATTCCGCTGTATGTTGGCAAATCTCATGCGAGAACAAGGTTCTGGTAGCGCAGATTAGGTTCCCCTAATTCACTGCATCTCTTTCCTTGTCGACGGTTTAAGTCATCAGCTTTCCGAAGCTGATGCTGCATTGCGTTCTGGGGGCAGATTGTAATTCCGTACCTCCCAGTGTAGCGAGTCCCTGAATAGACTCTTATCTCTAACACTTGGAATTCAAGTGTGGTATCAATAGCCATAATTATAGTTCATCGTGAGCGTCAAGTGGCCCGGAAGTGTCAATCATATCGCGGCAATCGGGGTTCAAGGCTGCTGCGGTCACCCTTCAAGGAATTCCATTTGTGAGAAGGCTTCGCTCAAAAAAAAAAAGTCAGTCCTGTGGCATGGCGCTAAGTCTAGTATAGACTTGGATCAATCCGAGTCCGAAAAGCTGGTGTTTTGAGATTAGCGCGTGCTTTAGCACTCACTCCGACTCGGATACCGTCAGTCTCGGTCATCCCGGGGCCCGTTTAACCTGGGCATGATCTGAAGTGCGTTCGAGTCTCGACAGAGTCGCACCGGGAGCTCGGTCGTAACGGGTTTAGGGTCGAATGCAAGACGCCAGGCAGCTCCAAGATCAAGAGGGTTCCTGTCAATATGAATGTGGCTTCACGCTCATCTACTCAATATGATCGAGTGGCTCAGAGGCAACCCGACGACGTTCCTATTCTGATATCGCGGGGCCTTTGGTGCTACCACAACCTGGGTTCATGCGGACACACAACGTATAGCTTCCAATGTGGTGTAGTGGCTAACATTGCTGTCTTTCATGTCCGGTGGCACGAATCAGCACAGCAGCCCGGGGTTCGATTCCCCGCATTGGAATAAAGGAAACTGCAAATGATGATTATTGAGGTGTAGCCGTGGTTTTTGGTTCTAAAACAAGATGCATTGAATTCAAAGCGTCGTTTTTCGCCTTGTTGCATCAGTACTTACAAGCCTTTTCTATCCGGCAGCTTGTCTGCACTCCCAGGGGGTTGAAATATGCTTCATAGCGCACATCTCCCAAATCTCGGTTCCTTCAGAGGGCAAAGCACGGTCAAAGCACCCATCCAAGGATCAAGCTGATTGTGATAAGATTGAATTGATCAAAATAACATGCGGCTCCCGAGATGATCGAATCGGTGACGGTGAGCGTTGATCAAAAGGTCCCGCCCGAGGTAGGGGGCACAGGAGGCCAAAAAAGAACTCGTTTACCTCGGTGGGTGAGTGGGTGAGGTATCACGACTTATGAGAGGCCGGTGACTCACGGAAACAAACGACGCTGTAAGAGGGGCCGACTCGGAGGACTATGCAATCTCAGCCCGATGGGTTCTTCAATCCTGCGGGAGTTGGAGATCAAAGCACCAACATCAGTTTCACGAGATCGTGAGTACACTCACACTGACAGGTGGCCTGAGACGATAGTCAAACAAGCATGATGGTGGCCGTTCGAATATTGAAAGGGCGATCCCCTGTTCCTGAGATCCCGCACCGTAGCACCCTGCAAACGATCGTCGCGTCACAGACTGAGTAATTGCCGATGGCGAGGGGGTTTGAAACAGACTCAGAAAAGGTCCCGGACTGGGGTTCGTCTTCGGGCTTGGAGGTGGAGGCGAAGATACGAGAAGATGAGGCTCAGGGTCATACTCACGCCGTTCTCACCTCCCTGCACGGTACGATGTTTGATGCAATGAGACGCACTGAAATTCAAGGCCCACTCGTAATCGGTGACGCCCCAATTATTATGTGGGTGCACTGACCGTGCCGTACCTGCGTGACGAAAGACAGTCGTTAATTCGGGTGTGGCTAGTCCAGATTCGTTCATTCACTGGCAGTGGGATGAGGCTGGCGGGTGTAGTACTGATGAGATGGACCCGAAGTCCGACAATCGGGAGTATCCAATCTTTCAGGTTTCTTCTTCAAATTTCTGAATCCCGAGTCCTGTGTCTTTCTAAATTCTCGTGGGTAAGTGGAGGAGGAGGACAGCGTACGAGTGATAAGGACGCGATTTATACAATCATACTCACTGCGATTCCCGTTCCCAGCTCAGTTCACAATTCCTTTGAGAAGATCCCGCAACGATAGTGCACTTCAGACCCTAGGTGAGGTAGCGGTCAAAGCACCAGTATCCGTACCGCAAGATCATTCGTTACACTCACCACTCACAGGCGGCAGGCAATATAGATGGGTCCATGATGGTTGCGAGGTCGTAAGGCTACGACCGTTCGTTGCCACATGAGGTCGCCCGATTCCGATTCGTAAATCCCGTACCATAGCAGCCCTTCGTGGCCCGCGAACGATCGTACACGTCATGTTCCTCATGTCAATGGCGAAAGGCATGTTGAAACGGGCTGAGGAAAGGTCCCGGGCTGGGCAGCGCTTCAAGCCCGAGCGTGGCTTATTCTTCTTCCTTCTTCCTGGGTTTCGCGGAGGTCAATACACGGTTGATAAGGATAAGGTACTCACGACAGTACAAGCCCCAAGCCATCCCGATTCCTACCGCAAAATCCCACCAGTGCGACCTTCGATCGTGACCATGCACGTTGATGGTGTCTGTGAATGAAAAGGTTCCGCAGAGAGACGCACCTGAATTTAAAGGCCACTTGCAGTCGGGGGTGACGTCCGTCTCTGGGCGTACTGACCGTTGCTGCGTGCACAGCGCAAGAATGCGGGGGTGGCTGGTCCGAATTCGTTCGCTGTGATGGGGTTTTGTAAGAAAGTCGGTTGTAGTGGCACTGATAAGAGATGGTCCCGAAGTCCGGCAATCGGAGTGTTTAATTTCCCGGGTCCTTCTCGAAGTCTTGGACTGAAGACTCCTAAGTGTCGATAGAGGTCAAAGCATGACAAGACGAGTTGAATGACGCACGATACTGACCTCTTGCGGTGAGCAACAGGTCTGATTACGATTCCTAATTAACGTCCTGTTGGCGGCTGCCCGCGCCCCACGAACGATCGGGATTTGGGAAGTTGATAACTGTGTATTACTTACTATCGTATGAAAAGGTTCCGAGCGAGCTGTGACTCGCGATTGCTAGTGTTTTCCTGAGTACTTGGTTCGACCGAGCCAGGTTCTGGGTGTTAGTAACGGGTCAGTTCGGCTGGTCCAGTTATCCAAGTTGAACGTTGAAGCAGAGAAGAAAGTCGATCCGTCTCCTGTTGACTACAATTTTCCCGAGACATGGCCGAGGGGGGTCTGGGCAGGTCTCATGTCTGTTTGTTGGGATTAAGAGGGTTAAGGAGATGTCGGCGAAAGAGAGAATATAAACGGACCGGGTTTGACTGGATAGGCAGGTGGCGTCATAGGGCAAGTCGTGATTTTAGGTAAATTATCGCGTACCTGGTCAAAAAAAGGTAAACATAGATGTGATTAGCGTTAAGATGAACTCGCAGCAAAAGAATGTCGAACGTTGAACGTTGTAACAGGATCCCATGGCTTGCACGTTGCCTCCGATGTGAAGGTCTGGGGAAGGCTTCACATCGCCAGACGACCCTTTGTGAAGCATGGAGCAAGGGGTAGCCGGGTTGATGGCCGCGTGCACGTGGTACTTGTTTGTTTATATTGGGAACTGCTTTTTTTTTCTGTTCGGGCAGGGGAGGTGATGATATAATGCTACGTCAGCGTTCGTCATTTGTTTCTTTCCCTTCCCCCCCCTTCCACCACACAACTATACGCTCAGAGAGCCAACTACCTCATCGCACTGGAAAAAACGTCATGTCCTCAACAACAAAAAGTAAATTCACTCCTCCATCTCACTCACACAATCATTCAACTTCAACAGAGCGACCGTCCCTTCAACGCCAACGACGTTCCGACTTTGATTTGGAACCTAACCCATTTGAACAGAGCTTCAGTGCGCCCTCCAATGTTCGTGGTTCAAGTCCGAATGGGAGAACATCAGCCGCCACATCATCGACCGAATCGGTCCCTCAGGTCAACGGCAAGGAGCAGGGAGGAGCAGGAGGAGGAGGAGGAGGCCCGCCAACAAAATCACCACCATCCAAATCGACAAGTCCACGACCAGTCTTGCCGCCGTTAGCCTCGATAAACAGTCCAGCAGATCAAAGCTATCAATGGGGATTCGGGAACTCGACGTCCCTCGCAAATTCTCTAAGATCAGGTCCTCTATCGCCCGCCATGTTGCCTGGTCCTCAACAACAACCGCCTGCACAGACCGGTGGCGGAGGATCGATGGAATTCGACCCCAATTCATTCCGGACGGGTCTCACACCGCGTACTGGGTTGACACCTAGAACGGGGTTGACGCCTGGTGGGCTTGGTGGTACGACTGGGTTGACACCGTTGGGACCTGTTGCCTTCCCTGCCAGCCCTGGAACTGCTGCGTTTTTACAGTTGATGCATAATAATCCGCCTACGGGACCTACGATCACGCCCAACACGCTTTCGGCTATTACGGGTGCGCTCAACGGCGCAGGTGCGTCGTACCAACAATCGCAGCAAGCGACGTCACCGACAGATGGGGAAGGATCACAGGGATATCTACAGAGTGCGAACGCGGCAGCTACGACGGCTGCTAATGGGTTGTTCTTGTTGTCGCAGGCACATCAAGAGTTGACGAAGCGAGAAGAGGAGGCGCGGGCGCAGAACCCGAACGCGACGTCTGCGAACTCGAATGCAGCAGCGGCATCGATGAATGGAGGCGGCGCGAACGCTAAGCGAGGCACAAAGAGGAAGAACTCGGAAGTTCAGCCGGTTGCGCCTCCGCCGACAACGAGGAAGAGGACGAGGTCGAGTGTGAAGAGAAAGCCGTCGTTGGATATGGATGATGACGACGACGACGACGATGAAGATGATGCCGAGGGTGACGATGATGGGTCGATGAAGGGTGGCATCTCAGCGAGCGGACCGCAAACTAATGGGAGAGGTGCGAACAAGAAGCCAGAGACTGAGGAGGAGAAGAGGAAGAACTTTTTAGAGAGGAATAGACAGGGTGAGTGCTCGTCATTGTCTATCACCAAATATCAGTCTAACGTCCTCGAAGCTGCACTCAAGTGTCGTCAACGTAAAAAGGAATGGCTACAGAAGCTTCAGGCCAACGTCGAGAAGCTCACTACAGAAAACGAAAGACTGACATCGGCGCTTGTCGCGTCGCAAGCAGAGATATCGCGTCTGTCAGCTATCGTCGGCTCAGCAGGACTGGGTGTCATGCCCGGCGTTGGTGGGGTCCCTGTTGGAGGTGTGGGCGTCGGTGGTGTTGGCGTTGGAGGCGTCGGTGCTGTCAATGTTCATCATCAGGCTCAGGGTGTTCCCGTCAGCATGGGTGTCAAGGCGGGTGCCGTCGGTGCTGGCGGAGAGAAGAACCAGGCGCAGGCACCTGTACAGGCTGGACAGAGAGCAAGTAGTGGGGGGTACGGATATTGACAGCGATAGTGCCATTTCTCCTTTTCTTCCTTCCCTCTCTCTCTTCCCTCATCGATACACGGCTCTCTTTTTCTCTTGTTGTATAACAACGAAACACACGAATGGACGAAGATAAGATAAATTACTTGTATCAATTGTCATAAAGACTACTCCCTTTTTCGTCTCTATTCTCTTCTTCTCCCTCAGCAAGTACTTTATTCACCCCCTGCAATACTTCCCTCTCCCTCTCGTGCTCCCTCACCACTCACCACCATTCGCCCCTTTCTCCGTTATATGCTACATGCCTCTTTACGTTTTTTTGTCAGTCTCCGATACAGTACTCGTACTCATTTTTTACGTTTTACATGCGTTCCGTTCTTAGGGGTTGACGGCGTCGTCGTTGTGTTTACTTATACGTAGTGTGTATAAAGACTTGATTTTTATTCGCTTCTTTTCATCATATGATCATCTTCAGAGTTGAGAGTCGTGTGCCTCCAAACCCAACAATGTCAGGCTCGGACCCTTTCTACTCTTCTGTGACGAGAACTTGGTCTGGGTATGTGTATTTTTTCCCATACACGAGGCGTCGTGTACTCAACTGTCTGCATGGTTGATCAGTGGTCATTAGGCTGCCTGACACCATTCTTCAACTTTTCCCTTCAATGCTTGGCTTCGCGATCGCGAGACGCTTTGACCTGGGGTCCGTATCATGGGATCGCGGTGGTAGTGCGCGTAGTATGCTGTAGTATGGTACGTACAATTCAGGGTTATGTTTTCGTTGGCGTCATTCAATTCATTCGGGCGAGGAACGAACGGGAACGGAGGTATCAACTGATATGACACTGTATTTGTATTGTAAAGACTATCGACTATGTCCGAATTCCGAGGAAACGTCCCTTTGTGTGCTCGTCCTGCGGTAGCAGGTACAAAGGAGGGGGGAGGAAAAAAAGAAAGGAAGAAGCAAATGAACAACAAAGTTCCAATGCGGGGAATCGAACCCCGGGCTGCTGTGAGATAGGGAAAAGCTTGGGAGTGAAAGATAGCAATGTTGGCCACTACTGTACACCACATTGGAAGTATTTGAAATTAATATAGGGTTGATGGCTGAGAATGCGCCTCTTGAGGCAAGTTTGGAATGAACGGACCTGAATACAACGGTTCGCGGGCGACGAGAGCTGGCGAGTCCGATGGAATTGGAAAGGAAAGTTATCCAGGAATGTGAAAACAGGCGTTACCAATTTGGGTATCTCCTTCTCACACTGACTTGATGAGGGTCGAGAAGCACGCGTAAGCGACGAGTCATGACGATGTGTTCCTCCAAAACGTTCATGTTCGCAAGACCAAGCCTCGGTCTCAAGGCTCAAAACTCTAGAATATCCTTCTTGGCCCTGAAAATCTACTCTATTCAACGTCGGCATGTCTCCTCACTCGACATTGATCTGCACCTTCAATAGATGGAGCCAAACAGCTTGCTCGTTTCGCCGAGTCCTTTCTACCCCCTCCCTCCATCTCAGCCGGCCACTAACTATACGTTTTTCATTCACAGTCACCTCGTAATATTGTGGCGTGGGCTGGTGATCGAAGCTCAGTCTGACCGAATAAAGTCTGCAATACGACTCGGACTTGGGACGTGACGTCGTGCGATGTAAAGAGGTTCCGGTCGACTTTGTGCTGGGCATCACGCTATGGCTCGATACGCTTTATCGATCTCAATCTTGTGCTAACTGGACAGCTCTGGCTGCTTGCACAATGCGGGCTCTTTTCAACGACTGATCGCAAAAGTAATAAAACAGGTTTTCTGAGAATGTGCTTGAGCTGTGAATACTTCAGTCGACACACACCTTGTGGTCTGCGCACCCTCAACCACCTTGGTGCTTGCGAGAAGCGCAGGCTTCGATCTTGATCCTCTGCCCCTATAGTACCACGCCTATCCCCAACTAGGCATCCAAAAATCAGCTTCAGTGGCGAACGAAGCTTCATATTGATGTCGACTCGAGTCAGGAACATGTCGTTGCGGGCAAAGAAGTTACAGGAAACGACGACAGTTGGAGCCGAAACACTGCGTTCGGGCTTCCGAGTTTGAATATTAGACCTGGCTTTTAGGTGCTCGTACTGTATGTGAGTGGTCCAGTGACCAGTCTGAAGGATCATAGAAACACGACATGTCTACCTCTTCCGCACTTACTCCCAAATTCGACCCAGTAACTCGGATTCTCAGGATTGTTACCCAAAACCGGGCGGTAACTCAAGACTACAGCCTGGAAGTAACAGCTCGACTTCCAGAGATACCTGGTGTGTCCTTAATCATTCCTAGCGATGTAGGCAGGGATCCTTTGAGATCATGCCTTTTGTAGATTGCCGCTGGGAGTCGGAAATTAGGTCGCCGCCTGCGTTTGTTCCCTGGTAAAAGTAAGTTCCGATATTGCTCTGAGCTCCACTTGCCACCAAATACACATCTTTCGTTACCCATTTTGCTTAGTTCGCAATATGTGAGTTGGCAAAGTCCGATACCATTACCGACTCCGGCGTCTTGAACGAAGCAAGGGTTAGATCTAGATTTTATGTGACGTTGGGACGTTCGGGCTTAATGAGTTATCAGTATTAGTGAAACTGGAGGTACTGGTGCTTGAGCTCCGAAACATTGAATAACAAAAAATTCTCCGCCCAATTTCCGACAATTCCTCAGGTTTCTGACACTGGCTGGGACAGCTGAGCGCTGAGCGCCAAACTCGCGAATTCTGACTGGACTTGTCGATGCTGTATCTGATATTTATGGTCATACACGCAATGTACTTCAAGGCCATTGAAAATCGAATGCTGGCAGCGCACGATATGGCCCAGGGCCCTGGGCTTAGGATGTCATGGCAAAGCAGCACACTCAAGTACTCGACACCGCAACAGCCTAATTTCGGCGGTGGTTCAAACGATTGTACTTGATTTAGGACGGGGACATCGGGACTCATGGAGTTCCCTCGCGAAAATATAGATATCGCCGACAAAATAGAAATCGGTAGATCGAAGTCTTCAGTTGGCCGGTTGTTCCGTTGACAGTTGGGTGAACTCTGATTTATGCTCTCGTCGACCCGCTCTTCCGCTCAACGACGACGGCCCTTGGTGCAATGGAGGATTCAGCTTGTACACGGGGTGATACCAGTTGTTTACACCACCCTCCTATCGTGGCCTGGGCACCATATATCCCCCGTCTGCCTCAGAAACCCGCCCTCTCGGTAGACAGTGTCGGGAGCAACGTAACAGCGTTCTTTGCTGTGGAGAATCATACGGACTACTTGGACTCACCACTCCCCCCTCTTATCACGTTGATAATGATTCAATGGCAAATTTATGATACCTGCGTTTTATCACCCGCCCTCCCGCTACAATCACAGTAATCATTGTCGCGGTTGGGAGAGCAGAGACTAAGCAATGTTTAGTAAGGCGTAACGAGAGAGCAACGAAGGTTGGTGATCGTCAGTGGCTATATTTGCCAGATTCGAGGAGTCGACTGTTGATTACTGAAGTGCGAGATGCTATGAAAGGCAGCAACACCACGCTGGACCGAATGGGGTAGGCCGTGCTTTCGATGGTCTCCAAAGATGTTACACTAAGTTCCGTTTTCGTGGCGGCAGAAGGTCACTCACCTTGAACGGTGGAGGTGAGACGTGGACAGAGACTTGGTTTTATTGACCAAGTTTCAATGGAGTATTTCAAAGGAAGGTGTTAACGGTAGTGAGCGTTACTTGATTTGCCAGTGAATCTTGATTGCGGCAACTGATCTATATTACCGAGAAGTAATTGTAGATCACCCTGGGGTGTCGGAAAGGTTTGAACTAGCCGTGGTCGTGGTATACGAATACCGACCGATTCGGAGGTGTGACATATGATTGGACTGGAAAGAAAGGTTCCATCATATCTTCGCGTTGCTCTGTGCTCTGTACTACTCGCTTTGATCTAATTTGTAGTAGTGCTCGGATTTTGACCCTTCCGACTGCGCAGCCTCCAGATAGAATTCAGTTCGATGAGTATGAAGAAGCATTCCCATACAGTCGTGGTCGATCTTGCTTTGGAAGTCTTCGGGGGTTTCCGTGGTGTAATTGAATCGGAGTTGGCGTGCTGTTCGAAATGACACGCCACATCTCAGAATAGATACCGTCGTCCGTCGCGACTCACGATAAACTGGCAGCGACTAACCTGATGTGCTTAATCACGTTTGTGTCTCGGGCGATGTATGGTCGAATTTGACTTTTGAACGGTGTCGGGACGTAAGTATGAACGGTGGCTGGGGGAGAATGTCATATCCTTCCTCGTATCTCAACCTACAGCCCATACTATATCGTCGCGCTTGCTTTGGGGTAAGATTAGATAAAGAATTTGGAATACAAATACCACCAAAATCCGGCCTGAGCCCCCACACTCCCCGCCAGTGCGGGACCATCAAAGCACTCGTCCATGACTCGGATAAACGCCGCCAAGGACGGCATGTGTCTGACTGTAACGGCCATGGTGAACTTGTCCAAGGTTCTCTCAAGCAACCCTTACACTGCCTAGCCCCGGGGTTAAAATGCCTGACAAGTAAGACTTGTTGGTGAACGAACACTCACAACCCCCGTCCCCCGTCACCATCATCTCACCCACTCTCACTCGCCTGTTGCTCGACCAGACAGAGACCAGAGCTTCATGGCAGCCATCACCGAAGGCTTTACTTCCAATGTTATCACCGGCCCCCAGACCGTCAGGTGGATGGTACCTGCTACAGTTTGGAGTGGGCGTATCAACAGTCTTGAGTACGTCGTGACCACTACACGTTGTACTAGAGTTACTCACACGATTCACGCAGTGCCTATTTCGAGAATGCCCAAGAGCCAGTCCATCAGACTGATCAGTGTTGCAGACCCCAGATCGACAATTTTGACACTCCCTTTCTCGAAGATCCCATCTATAATGACCCGTACGACTCTGGACACCCGGAATCAGATCCCGGCGTCATGATGAGTGAGCCACAACAAAGTACAAAGGTCCCGGTGGACTCGACGTTGGGCGAACCCTGGGCAGAACCGTTCAAGTTGTCGTGGTTGAGTCCCGAGTCTGTCGAATATAGGTACACCACGATGGCTGTAATTGAGTCTTTCCACTACGGACTAACCCATCCATAATATGCAGTTCCACTTGGACTCTAGGTAACGGCAGCCACCGACGCACACATCTCTTCGCCGGTGTATTTCCGAACACACTCAACGGGTACAGCAACAACAGCAGCCACCGTCACGGGGAGCTACTAAATTTGACAGGACACTCACCGCGGCCACCGTCCGGTGATTTAACTGCAAGCCGCTCTTCCTTTGTTACTAACAACGTCCTTCCCTCATTGTTCAACGACACCGCCAATGATACTCGCCAAGTAGGATCTCTCGCGTTGACCGAGTCTTCGGCAGCCCGTCGTAGGTCAAGACCTCCTCGTTATTTCTGTCAGGTACCAGGATGTAATTCCCGAGGGTTCACAACAAAGTACAACTATGATTGTCAGTCATCCTATCTTGCGACCAGTATCGACCCTTCTACTCACCTTTCTGTGCTCGCCGTTTCTACAGATCACATCCGAGCGCATAAGGGGGACAAGCCCTTTGAGTGCACGGAATGTAAGCGTGCTTTCTGCTCGCGCAGCGACCTCCGGAGACACAGTAGTCGAAAGCGGCGCTGTCAGCGTCCTTAGGTGACTTCCCCATTGGACACTTGGAGTCAATATTTCGATGTTATCTGTCATTGACATTAAGTCTTTGTACCTTTTACGGAGGTAAAAGGCGGCCCTTCATACACGGATGGAAGTAATTCGAAGTTGCCCTGTAATCTCACTACGCCACTTCGAAATCATCAAACATGTTGTAGAGGGGGAAATTATTCAATTGGAAGTGCTGTACATACATACCGCTGGATCCCGTTGCTATTCGTTGACCCAACAAACCTTCGCTGCAGTGCAATCAAGTCGATCTTGGAAACGTAATTTGAGATCTCACTGTCGGTAAAAGTACCACATCCAGGAGACGAAAAATTCATCCCAGGGACCCTGTCTAAGAGCTGCAG